GGGGGGGGGGGGGGGGGGGGGTACATACTCATGTAAACGCATGCCGCAGTCGTTAGATCATTGACCTCGCATAACTACGCTGAAACAACTTCAGGGAAACTAAATGCACACACACAAAGACTACCCATTCACAAGGCCGGGACGGAGCGATGTGCCAGGTTTTCGTCCGACCAGGCTACGTTGCACAAAGGATGAACCAGAAGCTAAATAGTCATCATCCTTGCGTTTGCTATGCCAATCGTGGGGAAATGGGAGTGATCCAAGTTGGGCGATTCCGCAATCAAAACCAACAAGCCTAAGTCTACTCACCGCTATTCGATAGTCGTCGTGTTGGATCCGGATACAACAGAGGTTGCGGATAAATTCTACATGACATTTAGACTAGTTCCAGAAAGGAGCGAAAGGACTTCTTTTCTACAACAACAAAACAATTCATAACAACCCGGACATGAACGTCTAGGATATGCTCAATGCAACATAATGCATACATGAAGCGTAGTGATGCCCCCCTCGTGAGCAGGCAACAGAAGATGGTGAACAGACTCGTCGGCTGCGTGTAGACTATACCGCGGCAGGCAGCAGTGCATCGTTTCCATTCGTGCATTCGTGCATTCGGATAGAATATCGCTTGCAACTGAAGTACGCAATGCACAAAGGAAATCGCAGCGGTCTGCTGTACTAGAGTTAAAGCACATGCACGTAGACGTCAAGCCGTAGGTCGCTAGCTGCACCTTCGTCGTTCCTTGGTCCTGCTGTAGTCTGATATCCTCAAGTCTGCATGTTCAAACTTAGCGAGAGCAATACCGGGTGCTATGCGTTATGCTTGATCATGACGAGCGCGGAATACCACTCACCTTGCCAGCAAGAGACAGCACATTGTTGGCCGTCGACATGTGGAAGTCGGTTGATGCCACCGAAGGCAGAGCGAGTGAGGTGGGGAGGTGGTGCAGCTGCCACGACAGGTCGCCAACGCCACAACCAACGACGAGTTCAACAAGTTGACGAAGGGGGCTGGTGGATAGCGGCGATGCACACATACCCAGAATACGTTTTATTTTTGCATGTTTGCGGGGCCTCTGCGTGCCGTGTTCGTGACGAGCTTTGCGTCATCTGCGCACTACCGCAGCTCTTGGACTCTGGAGAAGTTTTAGGCCGTTGCCGCCTTGCTTCCTAGGTCCTCTTTCTCACCTCTAACAGGTCGAGTTCGGAGAGAGCTATTGAGAAACATCGCCGGTGGTGGTCGTCGCCCATTTTACCGTTTCGGGGTGAGTTCGCAGCCGCGAGATGTCCCAAAAAGTCCTTCAGCCATGGCCAGGCTTTTTGGCGACCGCACATCCCGTCCGCTGCTAAGCTGCCGCACGCGTAGCACAGCGGTCAGGATAGCCGAAGATGTCCACTCGGCGGATGTCCTCGGTGCAAGGATGCGTCGTTGCATTTGCCTGCCTGCATGCAATCCGGGAACGTGTGTTGCCATTACCCCGCAGGACCCGCGTGGTGGGGTTTGGGCCGGTTGTCCAAAGAAAGATCCCGGGAATGGTGACATTTGCCACATTGTTATCGAGCGCCGAGTGCCGTAGAGCAATGCAATAGTAACGGTGCGGGGTCGTGTTGTTGCCAGGGGTACGTGGGTGTGTTGCCGAGAGTCCGGTTGTGCTGCGCTGTGTAGGTCTTAAGATCTAGTCGTTCGATTCGAGGCATAACTGGTTTTTCCACGGCCGGGATACACGTAGTGTGACGCACAAAAAAAGCGGCTGGAGGAAAAGCGTCTGCTGTTGTTCCTCTCGAACCTCCGACCGCATGTTGTCAACGCGCAACAGCGTCCAACAACACACTGCCCAATCTGAAGTAATTGCGTGACGACCCACAGCCGCGTATGCTCTGTTATGGCCTAATTCGTCTTTGCTGCATGACGTCATGGCGGACAGCGGAGGCCAAGAGGCCAAGGGTGTCGCTTTCATGGCTAGCCGGAGGCAGACTCGGCAGCACAGCCTGCGGAAGCAGTTCGTTCGAGAGCCCTCGGTGCTCGCGCACCACTCCGCCGTCCTGATTTACGGCATATCTCCGAGGGAGATCTTGCACATGAACCAGGATGGGCTTACCGAGCAAAACCTGGTAAGTGTGGAGTCTGCGGAGCTTCAGCGTATCTCACGTGTACCTGGGTCTGGATGTGTTTTTTGAAGAGGTATAAGATATGCTGATGTTTTGAACGACAGAAGTCGCTCTCTGATTGGGCGAAAGGGGGGGAGAAGGTTGGTGGTTGTTTCGCTGCTTCTCTCTCCTCCTCTTGTCGTTTGCTTTTCACGGCCGCGTGCACAACCCATAGTCTACACGGAAGGCTTACACAACGAGAGATAGACACAGATGTGGCGTGGTCGGCTTGTCCTACGCATGGGATGGCAGAGACTGCACACACGTTGTCTGTAGTATCCCGACTGCTGCAGTGTTTTCGATCCAGCGTTTTGTTGTTTCAACAGGCGGTCCCTCCCATATAGATCATTCTTGGATGATTATTCTCCGTAGCAGAAAGCGGCTTGCCAAGCTGCTTGCCAAGAGCGCCGAATTCCATCCCGGTCCTTTCGCACAAGCGCGGACACGAAGGCAATGCCTGAGGGCGGATTGCCCACGTGATCCCTCTCGCCCGCTCTCATAACGGCAGTCCTGCAGAACCTGCACTTGAGTGAGACTCGCAAGGGTAGCAGTAGTTGAAGTGTGTGTGCAACCTCCGATGGCTAGGGTATTGGTTGTGAACGCTGAGTTTGCGTACGGTGGTTGGAGGCCATCCTTTCGTCTGTCGTGGTGCGGTTGTTCTGAGCCCCTTTCCGGTGAAACCGCCGTCAGTCTTTTTTCGTCACTTTTTTCCTCGTCGTCGGCGGCGGTCTTCGCTCTTGGTGCCTTTGATCCCTCATGCCTCCAAAACGACGTAAAAAAGAACGAAACGAAACGAAACGAAACGAAACGAAACGAAACGAAAACGAAACGGGCACCATTCGTTGCAAAGGTACCACACCCCCTGGACTGATTTTCAACGCTCGATTACTCCGCAGGAAAAGTATGGCGACGTCGGAACCGTCTCGTCGATAGCTTTTTGAAAACATGTGATAATTGATTTTGGCATGCTCATCGTCGTGGAGTATTTAAGCTTTCAAAATCGGTCCAGGGGCGTGGTTTCTTGTTGCAACCTACGGTAGTGTATTTTTTTAGAATCGAATCTCAATACCGAAACAACCAACAAAAAAATGAGCAGAAGGAGCTGAATGATCTGGGAGGAGCGGACAAGCTGGCGAAGATGCTTCGGAGCGACGTTACGCAGGGGCTTCCCAATGGGGACAACCTGGAGGAAAGGGCCACGGAGTTCGGCCACAACTGGGTGCGAAAAAAAAAAATGTACTGTAGTCACCTCATGAGATCGTCGCCCAATCAAACTACGGCATTCCCGCCGAGGGTCAGGTTTAATGATAATCTGGCTGTCCCTTCAAATGCATACTACATTGTACAAGTGAAGATGCGTCAGGGGAGGACATAACTCATTGAATAGAGCACAAATACCTGGTACATTTTTTTTTTACCATGGTAGTTTTCGTGTTTTCCTCGGCGTTGTGCTCTTGCTGTCCTACGTACGTATAGCTGTTGTCATACTCAGCATGTGATGTTCACGTCTGTTCCTTTCTGTCTTGACCCCCCGCCACCGAACGACCTCAACAGATGCCTGTCCCCGATCCGAAGACGTGGGTACAGCTCTTCATCGACAGCTTCGACGACACCACGCTCATAATCTTGATCGTATCTGCCATTGTCTCGCTCGCGGTGAGTTTTTTTTTTTTTTCCACTTTGTAGAATCGCACGAATTTACGCAACCCTCGTGTGGGTCCACCACCACCCGCACGCGGCGCTGAACGAATGGTCATCACGTGGCATCGGTCCCACTGCTGTCGGTCCGCGCCTGAATCAAGCTTCTCGGCACTCTCATTGTTGTTGCGCGGAACGCTTTCACTTCTTTGCTGAACGTAGTTTTTGTTCGAAAATATCCAGTCAGGAAGACTACCTGTTCGAGACATATCTGCAGCAGTCCAAGGATGTGTTGAGTTTAGTTGGGAGTGGTGGCGCCTAATTTTTGAGCGCGGTGGTTTTAACAATCTGGGGGCCGTGTGTGTGCGTGTAGGTCGGGTTCTACAGCGATCCCAAGAGCGGCTGGATCGAAGGGGTGGCGATCCTGTGCGCGGTGCTGGTGGTGGCCGTGGTGACGGCAACGAACGACTACTCCAAGGACAAGCAGTTCAGGGCCCTCAACGCGGTGAAGGACGACGTGAAAGTGCAGGCAAGGAGGAGATGAGAAGAGAGAGGCGCTTGCTCTTGCGTCTGTTTGGAAGGATCGTTTCCTCGCTCGCAAGTTGTTTTGTCTGGTTACGTAAAGCTGTGTCTGTGTCCGCACCACGCTGGACTCTCTGTCTGTCTGTCTGTCTGTCTGTCTGTCTGTCTGTCTGTCTGTCTGTCTCCGAAGTCTTCATGAACGTGACATTATTTCTTCTTCGTTTTTTGCAGAGCTAAGAAAAACGGTCACTTATCTAGAGCCCTAGATGAAGGTCTTTGGTTCAGAGTCCTCACCGAAAGCAATACACAGTAGATGCCACGCCACATGGTAAACCGCAACAAATACCATGTCCATTCCCCGCGGCACAACAAAAAACACAAAGCACGAACAATTCTTTGTTCTACACGGCAAACATCAACAGGTTGTGCGCGCGGGCGAGATCCGAGAAATGTCCACCAGGCAGCTCCTCGTCGGAGATGTGGTCCTGCTGGAGGCCGGAGACAAGATTCCGGCGGACGGGGTGCTCACTCTGGGCGACGACGTGACGGTGAACGAGTCGTCACTCACGGGGGAGGCGGAGGATGTGCGGAAGGGGGTGAAGATAGGAGAGGGCGAGGACGCCTTCCTGCTCTCCGGGTGCACGCTCACGTCCGGGAGGGCGAGCATGATGGTGGTGGCCGTCGGCGCGGAGAGCCGCTGGGGAAGGATCAAGGTGTGTTTCTTGTATGTGCTGTTGTTGTTGGCATCGACTGCGCTAGTGGGCTGACCGATGAAAAGACGTCAATCTCTGAGCGAATGATTGTGGGTATTTGTGTGTTTTGGCTAGCGTCGACCGCGCTAGCCGACTGGCAAATAAAAAGATGTTCAGTCTCGCAGCGGGATGAGAAACGCGAACACGCTTTCTATTTGTGTTCTGTTGGCAAGCTTCGACGGCGCTATTTAGTCGGCTGACCAATGAAAATATTCCGGTCTTACAAGTGCGGCAGATAAAATGAAAAACGCTTCTAAAAGCTATGATCTGGGACTCTGAAACAGGGAATCATAGAAAAAGCTATACATGTGCAGCAAGTAGTTTTCGGATGAAAGACAGAACGGTATTATTGGAGAGGGAGGGAAGTGCACGTGTCTACGGAGGGCTGTGTGTATGGGTCTTACTTGAGTAGCATTTCGACCGATAGAGGAAGCGACGCCATGGGTAACTAGGACGGATAACTCGATAATTGCTCAAGTCCCCTTTGCTCAGCCCGCTTCCCCGACAGAGGAAGCGCAACGTGTGTTGTGCGTTTCTCTGTTCAGCTGTAGCTTGCGTTTTTTTCTTGTTGAACTGGGTCTGCTTTCTTCGTCTGTTGGTTTGTTACTTCATCTGTTGCTATGCTCTTGTTGACCCCCTCCGTGTGCCCTGTTGTGCATGACAGGCTAAGCTGCAGGACGAGCCGAGCGACACGCCCCTTCAGGAGAAGCTGGACGCGATGGCGGCGACGATTGGATACGTCGGCATGGCATGCGCGGCCGCCACGTTCGTGGCCACCATGTGTGTCTACTTCACAACGCACAGGGTGAGAGAGCGAAGAAGCTCCCGCAGGGCGCGCAAAAGTTTTCGATGGGCATATGACCCACTGCGGGGGGCGTCGGAAAACCACGCAACAAGTTCCACCACTCAACAACGCCAACATGCGAGAGGTTGAATTTTTCCATGTGTTTCCACACCACACTAGACGCGAAAAATCTTGAGTGGGATCATGTTCCGTCGTCAGCGAGGGCAACAGGAACATACGAGGCGGTTGAACTTCTCGGTGGTGTTTTTTTTTTTCTTTTTCAACACCACGCGAAGAATCTTGAGTCTCAACTCGAATCCGGAGATAACGGTCGAGGACCACAAAGAAATCGCAGCAGCTATGCTCATGTCGCCACCAAACGCACAACAGCGACGACGACAAGAAATAAAATGTTTACATGCGGAAAAAAAAAAAAGGTGGTCGAGAGCGCTCAGCTGGGGGAGCGCGTGGACACCCTGTTCGAGAACGTCCTCCACTCGTTCGTGCTGAGCGTCACCATCGTCGTTGTGGCGGTGCCCGAAGGCTTGCCCCTCGCGGTGACCATCTCGCTGGCCTACTCCACCTCCAAGATGCTCAGGGACAACAACCTCATCCGCGTTCTTGCGGTGAGTTTTGGTTGGCTCCGTAGAAAACGCACGCCCCCCGTAGCCATCGCGACTTGCTGCCATATCTTTGTTGGGCTCCGGGTGTTGGGCTCCGCGCTGGCCGGCCGGAACAAGGGGCAATAGAGTTCGTCCTTTCCTCGGATATTTTTTGACCGATTCAGTGCCGTCTTCTAGGGGTGCCTCGATTTGAGAAGGTGAACAGCTACATAATGTTAGCCTAGTTCGCCGTTGGGGAGCTGTTGTTGGTGCGTCCGTACTTGGGTTCGGTTTTGGGCCTGGTCTATGGGCGTGCGATTTGTCTGCTGCCGTCGCTATGTATCTAGCTAGTAGTGTCGACCTGCTTTTTTCAGCGGAAGAGGTCCGATACGGGGTTGCCCAGAAAATCCCCTCTGCATGATGACGGGGGGAACATTGGCGGCAAAGAGGAGGNAAGGATAGTCTTGATGAGAAAAATGCAAGCGACGACAGAGATTTTGAAAGAGGAAATGGATTTTCCACCCGTCGCTGCCGTACTTCGCGTGCCGTACCCCCCCCCCCCCCCCCCCCCCCCCCCCCCCCCCCCCCCCCCCCCCCCCCCCCCCCCCCCCCNCCCAGCACAGTATTTTTGTGCATTCAAAATGGCATCATTTGTTCCAGACTCTCTCCTTTTCGGCACTCCACAAGATAGTGTACACAGCATTGCACGACGTTGTCAGCCGCTGCCTGCCCCCCAACCCTCCGTACACGCACACCCCATGCCTGTCTCACACGTTCGCACGTCCGCAGGCTTGCGAGACCATGGGCAACGCCACCACCATCTGCTCCGACAAGACCGGCACCCTGACGGAGAACCGCATGACCGTCGTGGAGGGCTGGTTCGCCGGCGAGCACTCCGCGAACGGGTTCCCGAACGTGGCGGGCGTCGCCGCGGATAGCATCTGCGAGGGCATCTCGGTGAACACCACCGCCAGGCTCACGAAGGATGGCGAAGGTGCTACGGCGGTCGTGGGCAACAAGGTGATTGTCATGCTGTCGTTGGATCGGTTGTATGTGATGTGTTCTGGCGTTTGGGAGAGGGGCTACCCAGTAGTTTTTCGATGATGGTCGGGGTGGGGGTGGGGTTGTCTGACAGGCGGTTGGAAAGTTGTGGTCGGGGAATGCGTTTTGAAATGCGGTCACGGCGGTGGTGCTATGCACTGAACTTACGCAGGATGTACGAGGACGTGCTCACCAACGTAAAATTGAACGGAATACTAAATGAAAGAGAGACAGCCGACCGAACACCCCCGCCCCAAACACACCTGGTACATACCAGGTGCAAAATGTAGCACAAACAAAACACTCTTGAACCAGCGTAGTGCAACGTCTGGTGTTGGTTTTGGGACAATTTTTGCCGACGACAGACGGAAGGCGCCCTGCTTGCGCTGGTGGGCAAGCTGGAGCAGAACTACTGGGAGCTGCGCGTGCAGAGGATGAACCCCGGGCGGGGGGACCGGCTGTTCCCATTCTCCAGCCACCGGAAGCGCATGACGGCGCTCATTCACGGCGGCGTCGGGGGAGACCCCGATGGGCAGCGGGTGTACTCCAAGGGGGCGGCGGAGATCGTGCTCGCAAGCTGCACGCACCAGACCACTGCGAGCGGTAAGAGAGAGAGAGAGATACGTGGAGAAACATTTAGAGCGGTAAGAGAGAGAGAGAGAGAGAGACGTGGAGGAACATTTAGTGCTTGTGCATGCACTTGAAACATTTGGTGCTTGGGCATGTACCTAAGAGTTATTCGGGAGTAGGTGTGCACTGCTGTTGCGGATGTTTTTTTTGTTGCGTCAGCTGGTGGTGTCGGTAGGGTGTGGGTGTCGGGTATTTGGAGGTGGGGTCTTGGTTGGTGGGTGTTGCAGGTACCCTTGTTTAGCGGTGTTGTTGAAGAATGGTGCACCTGTGCAGGATGAGCGAACGAGTCACACCAACAACAGGAGAGTCAGGCGTATGATGGTCCAAGTTTATTACAAACGCCGTGCCTCTACTCCGATGAGGCGCCAGTCATCGATCTTAGTGGTAGGCGTACTCACGGTGCCAGTGATCGGAGTAGACGGGTGCCGTTTCTACAAGCCGCCAGATGTCTTTGTCTTCAACCGCGGCAGTTCGTTGGCTTCGCGACCTGTTGGTCTCGGTTGTTGTTTCAGTGTTGCTCGAAGTAGACTGGAAAACCGTGGCAAACAAGACAGGTGTCTTCACTGAACTCGTGTGGGCGACGGCGGCCTAAGTGTACCCGACACAACCTGCTGCTGCTGGTGCCGCAGGCGAGGTCGTGCCAATCACCCCCCGGGACCGCAAGGCCCTGGTGGAGCTGATAGAGACTTACGGCGACAGCGCCCTCCGCGCGGTGGGGCTGGCTCACAGGGACATGCCCACAACCGAAATCTCGGCGAGGACCGAGAACCTCACGCCGGAGGACCTGGAGCACGACCTCGTGCTGGACGCCATCGTGGTGAGAGGAGAGGAGAGGAGAGGGTGGACGACTGATGGGTTTGCATCTTCCTATATAGACGAAAGTGTGATGAACTGGTTTTGGTGAACTGATTTGATTGCGCTTCACTGTTCATTCGTGAACGCTTGCTACCGCTGCACCACTTCGTTTTTTTACATGCCCGCAGGATACATTCTTTTATTTTTTTCGTCGTTTGTGTGTTTTTGAATTTGCGTCGACCGCGCCAAGCGGGAAAAACAAATGCCAGCTCATGTGCGTGTGCGTCCCTTCCGTCTATTCTGGCGCCAGTCTGTACATCTTGTGGTGTATAAACCTTCGACGTATCAGCCCGGTACCTTGTCGTTTGTTGTTGTTGCTTCCCTTAGCGTTTCTTTTGTCGTTCCCATGGTTCTTTTCTTTCTGACCAATCCGACACGGATGATTCTTGAATGTGTTTTATCCCTTTCCCATGGTTGCGTGTATCCTGACTAATCCTACAGGGAATCAAGGACCCCCTTAGGGAGGACGTCAAGTACGCCGTGAAGCAGTGCCAAGTAGCGGGCATCATGGTGCGCATGGTCACTGGGGACAACATCGCCACTGCTAAGGTATGTCTTGCCGTCTCAGTATCTCGTTGCCGAGATTATCGCAGAGGAGAAGCATGGTTGCGAGAAGAGTAGTATGTTGTTTTGTGTGTGCGTCTTTGTCCCTAAGTGGAGAGAGGCCTGTGGCAAACCTGGATGGATTGATCGATGTCGCGATCTTGACGCTGTCATTTGTGCATTCATTGCGTCTTAATGGACGATTTTTTTTTCAAAATGTTGCAAAAACATGTTTCGGTTTGGCGTGTTTTCCTTGCCGTGTTGTGTGTATTTTATTTGCTCGGTGCGTATAGGCACGTAGAGAGGTAGGCGATAAGCCGTGTTTTGTTACCGCGATGCCACATGTTCCATGCCTTTTGTCGTTGCACACGTACACATACACAGGCACAGAGAACAGTTGTGACTAGCAGGTGTAGTTGCGTTTTGTATCCCATTGCAAGACCGACGTTTTTTCTACTTACACATGAAACACACACACGGACACACTTGACATCCAGGCGATCGCGACGGAGTGCGGCATCTTCGACCCTGGGTACGGCGTGGCTCTGGAGGGCCCGGCGTTCCGAAAGATGACTCCCGCACAGCTCGACGACATCCTCCCCAGGCTACAGGTACACCATACCGTAGACCACCGTAGACCATACCACACCATGCCACAACCATACCTGAGTGCGATATTCTCTGAATACAGCAGAATTCATTGCCTACTTGTTCATGTTATCGCCATCCAGTATTGTCACCGAAGTCATGGGGCCTTGTACCACCGATTATTCTACGACCTTTTTACTAATTTGGAGTCGGCGGGTTCTTCTGTTGTGTATCCCTCCTTCCCCCCTCTCGCTCTCTCGCCCTTCTTCGGCGGCCGCTACGACTGCCATGCTAATAATGGTATGATAGTAATGCCTGTCTCTCTCACACTTTCCCCACGTGCCCGTTGGTACATGATCTGTATCAACATCGTGTACCGGCACTTACATACAAACATTAAAAAAAGAACGGCGTGGGTACCCCCTCCTGTGTGACCCCGGACGGTGCGTCTAGCTAGTCATAGTGTATCGAGTGCGCTGAGAAGTTGAAGTGCACATACGCGGCAAACACGTGTAGTGTGCACCGAAGAGGAATACAATGTAGGTAGGCGGCGCCAGAGGTGGGACGAGAAAAAAAAAAATATATATATATATATATATACATCTTTTCTTTTTTTTGTTTGTGATGTCTTGTCTATCCCTGTCTTGTCTTGTCAAGGTGTTGGCACGATCATCGCCGGACGACAAGCACTTGCTGGTGACGAGGCTGAACGGAACCGCTCTCCCTCGGGACCGCTCGGAGTGGGAGGAGCTGCACCCGGAGCTGGACTGGAACGTCGACAGGGATCGCACCCTGCCGGGGTACTGGGATGAGGTAGGTTCGAACGTGGGCGGTCTGTCGTGTGTGTGTGTGTGTGTGTGTGTGTGTGTGTGTGTTTACTGCCGCGATGGGTTGATCTGTAAGTTGTGGTTTTGTGATGATTGCGTGAGGTGGGTGCCGGCAGCTGTACGAGGGATAGCGCCCTGCCAGGATACTACTAGGACGAGTTGAACATACGTGGGGGTCTAAAAAGGTGAGCTGTTGATGATGGCGTGGGGTATCGGCAGAGGTACATCGTAGCGCCGTTGCCGTTGCCGTTGCGGGCGAGGGTGCGGGCAACGTCGGCACGTGATGCCAGGCAGAGAGAGAACACAGCCGTCGCGTGCAGACACCACGGTCGCCGTACCTTGGTGGATTCTTGTGTTGTACATGACGCACTCTCTTGCGTGCACCACTTGGTTCTTTGTCTCACGTAAGAAGCTCGCTCACCCTCCACTCAAGACCAATGAGAAAAGAGAAAAGTCGTACCCGTGCGTGCTCGGGTTGTTTGTTGTTGTTGTTTGGTTTCGGCCGTCTTCATTCGTTGTTCGGTTCTTTTACGCCCATTCTGCTCGTGTCGTGATGCGTGTTCTCCCCGGTTTGTTTTTGCCTGTGCATGAGTCAATGGTTGCTTCATCCTTTCATCACCTCTGTCCTGTTTTGTGTCGCGATAAATCTTCTCCTGCTATTTGGCCTCTCCATCAGTTGTTGTTCGATTCTTCCACTGCCAGTCTAGCTCGTGTCGTATTGCATCTTTCTGCGGTTGTTAGCATTGTTCATCCATCAGTTGTTGCTCGATTCTTCCACTGCCAGTCTAGTTCGTGTCGTATTGCATCTTACTGCGGTTGTTAGCATTGTTCATCCATCAGTTGTTGCTCGGTTCTTCCACTGCCAGTCTAGTTCGTGTCATGATGCATCTTCTCCTGTTGTCCTCTGTTGATTCATTCAGTGGGTGGCTAGCCGGGCTGACGGGGGAGAGGTTGTGGGAGCTACCGGGGACGGCACGAACGACGCCCCCGCCCTCAAGACCGCCGACGTGGGCCTGAGCATGGGCCTCAGCGGAACGGACGTGGCGAAGGACGCTTCCGACATTGGTGAGGGAGGCAGGGAGGAGGGTGTGCAGTGTGCAGTCAGCGCAATTGCGATGTTGAGAAATTACAGTAGTGCTTTCGCGTGTGTATGTCAATTTTAGCCAGCTTTGTGATGAATTGTTGTTTTACTTTGATGGTTGTTTCACACACTGTACCCAACTCTTTGCCGATAACATGACATTTTTTTGTTCTTTTTTCTTGCGTTGAGCTTGTTTTTTTCACAATCTCTGTTACATCCCTAGCCGTCGTGCTAACGCTTGTTTGTATTTCGTTATGTGTGTGTGCAGTGATCATGGACGACAGGTTTTCTTCGATCGTGAAGGCCGTGCTGTGGGGCCGCTCGGTGTTCGACAACATCCGAAAGTTCCTGCAGTTCCAGCTTACCGTCAACGGTGAGGGAGTACTCTACTAATAGATACTCTACTTAATGCTGTCGGTGTTTGAATTATCTTCGTACTGTAGCGTCCTCTCTCCTCCATTGTTATGGTCTCTACCGCCGTGAGGATTACAGCAGTAGCTACGAACGGATTGTAAGGCAGTATTTTCACGTGGGATTCTCTTTTCTTCTCTGCTGTTTCGTCGTCGTCGTCATTTGGTGGTATTGTTTGTTTCTGCTGCCGCTGTTGCCTTTCCTTCTGAGACTATGTTTAGCTATGTGTGTTTACGTTTGTTCTTTTTTCCCTTAGGTTCGATGCCCTACGCTGCTGATGTCATTTTGGCGTGACGTTTGAACAATGTCCCTCCCTACATGGTTGCTCAATTGTTTCGACCGAAATGTGGGTTTTCCATTCTCGCTTCAGCAGTTGTACTGGCTGTGGTATCCCGCCAGCGAGGTCTGGTACGGTTGTCGTTTGCTCCTTCGCGCTGCCCCCCGCTTCTTTATCTTTTCCCCGGCGATGTTCCTCTATTGTCTTGTCCGTATCCACGCCCCTCCCAAACAACAGCAGCAATAGTGATGGCGCAAGCAACAATTGTCGTTCGGCGCCGTAGGCAGCAACTGCACGTAGAAATCCCCCCCCCCCCCCCCCCCCCCCCCCCCCCCCCCCCCCCCCCCCCCCCCCCCCCCCCCCCCCCCCCCCCCCCCCC